GACTACCCTAACCGGCAGCAGTCAGCACCAACGTAACGGCAGCTTCGACCTTCAAGCAGTCAAGTCGCCTCAACGCAAACAAATCCCACCACTCAAGTGCAAACGTCAACAACGTCGACGGGACAACCTGCACAAGGAACAACAAACATCGTCAGCTGCATGGCAAGATTGACCGACTGCTGCATAACCGAGTCACCACCACACTACTCACCGGAAGAGCAACTCAACAACAGCACCCCTCGTCGCGAGTCACTTCAACCAAACCCGACGTATGCAGCCATCACTCAAAGCGAGCCGTCCGGGAAAGATACCTGGTTCTTGGACAGTTGCTGCTGACAGCAGATGTGCTCCTCAGGTCGCTTCGTTCAACGCGAACACCAACTCCAATGCGAAGTCGTCATCACCGTCGCCAATAGCCAGAACCTGCGCACACGACGACAAGGCGTGGTGCAACTTCAGTCACGAGAGACAAACGTCATATTGCAGATGTCAAAAGTTTTAATAGCAGAAGGACTTGGCTACAACGTAATGAGTGTCAGTCACCTGATTGCGAAAGGCATCCACCTCGAAGCAAACAGCACAACACATGAGTTCAAGCTGTACCACGGAAGAGGAGGCCTAAACATCGGCAAGGCCGTACTGAAGAACAACGTGTTTGTTCTCGACTTCGTTCCAGATCTAGGCACCGCCGACAGCGACGGAATTGTCACCTTCACCTCCTGGACGCACCCACCGGATCTTGATCCTGACTTCAGCCTCGAAGGATTCTGGTACTCGCACACCATTCCTGAGGTAGAACGAACAACAGCATTAGCAATGATTCAACATTCGGCAGCAGCAGGGACAACATCGGCAACAGCAGAGACAACATCGGCAGCAGCAGAGACAACATCGGCAGCAACAGAGACAACATCGGCAGCAGCAGAGATAGCATCGTCAGAAGCAGAAACAGCATCGGCACCAATCGCGGGTCCTTCAACTTCACCGGCTCCAATCGACGACGACACTCCACCGACTCCTACGCAGCAATTGAACCCAACACCACCAGAAGTACATCGAAGTGCAAACTTCACCTCAAGCTTCTGCTCCAACTCCGACCTGTACCGTCGCTCACCCGGACATCGAGCTAGAAAAGACATCTGGCACGCACGAATGGGACATCCAAGCAACACAGTGTTAAATAACACAATCAGAGCAAGAGTACTCGACAAGGACTCACTGCTCCTAACCGACGGAAGCGAACTTCGACGAGCTCGTGGAACGTGCTTTACTTGCCCCAAAGCTGACTTACCACATCGGTCGTTCGCTTCTCACCACAACCCCAGCGCACCAGCTTACGCACCACTTGAGAAAGTGCACAGCGACATACTGTACAACCGCAAACCTGGACAAGGAGCATACAGCTACACCATCACGTTCATCGATGCCGCCACACGTTACGTTTGGCACCTTAACCTTCCGAGCAAGGACATGGCTTTCGAGGCCTTCGTCGCTTGGCTCCCAGTAGCAGAACGAGAATCGGGCGTGAAACTAAAAAGCTTCCGGTCAGACGGAGGAGGAGAATACATCTCACAGAGGTTCAATCAGTACCTGGCAGAAAGAGGGATCAAGAGGCTCATCTCTCTTCCCTACACTCACTAGCAGCAAGGCGTAGCAGAAAGTGTGAAAGAACAAGGGATGAATACACTAGGAAAGAGGTGGGTACAAGTGGGAAAACCTAAAAGTGTTGTACCCCATATTATCTACCCCACTACAGCCTACACAGACTATAGCATATGAGTTTGACACACCCCCATAGGCAAAGTGGGGGAGAACAAGAGGTCACAAGACCAGTCAAGCAAAACAAAGCAAACTCAGGGTGGATCACAACGTCACCACACATTCCGAGCACAAGTTCAAGGCCACAAGGCCAGCTCACATGCAAGATTATATATAAAGGTAAACAAGCAAGTGTAGGTATAGAAAGATCACAGTACAAGCAAGGTCAAGAAGTGAGCAAGTGAGGCCAAGTAGGCACAAGACCTAGCATCGTACAGAAGCGCTGATGATCACAAGGCGGAAGTGCCTTGGTAAAGATATCAGCAGTGTTGGCCTCAGAGGCCACGTAAGCAAGGCGCAGCTGACCACGCTGCTGTAGCTCACGAGCAAGGAAGTAGCGAAGAGCAATGTGCTTCGCTCTGTGCTCCAGTCTGTGCTCCCGACACAAGGCCAGCATGGCCTTGTTGTCTACGTACAGAACTGGAGGAGAACGAGGCGGCTCTCCTAGGTCAGTCAGCAGGTAGGTGAGCCAGCGTAGCTCCTCTTCAGCCATGGCCCCTGCGTAGATCTCAGCCTCACAGCTAGAGCCGAGAACAGAAGACGAGCGGGTAGACCGCAACAAAATAGAGTCGGAACCAAAGCTGAAGGTGTAACCCTGTGACGACCGCTGCGTAGCCTGGTCGTCAGCCCAAGAAGCGTCTGCGTGCCCAGTGAGGACCACTGAACGCCGCCCTCCAAGCACTAGCCCCATGCCCGACGTACTGCACAAGTAGCGTAACACCCTCTTCGCTGCAGCCATGTGCTCTGGTCGGTGTCTCCCAGGAGCAACATAGCGTGCCAAGATGCTAAGAGGGTATGCAAGGTCAGGTTGAGTGCAGGTCATCACGTACATGAGGCAGCCAACAAGCTCTGGGTACGGGCCACTCGGCTCTATGGACTCATCCGAAGGCAGAGCTGAGAGCGAGTGGCGAGTAGACAGAGGAGTGGCCTGAGGCGAGGAGTACGTAAAGTCGAAGCGCTGAAGGACCTGCTGCACCATGTGTGACTGAGTCAGGGTAATGGTGCGCGATGCTCTGTTTCGGGTGATCTGCAAGCCAAGGTAGCTGCGCAGTTCACCCAGGTCTGTGCACGTGTGTCTATTCTGCAGCTCGGACTTCACGTGGGCGAGTCCAGCAGTGTCAGCAGTAGCAAAGACCAAGTCGTCGACGTACACGAGGATGTAGAACGGCGGCAAAGAGGTGTGGGTGCGTAAAAACAGCGACGGGTCGGCAGTAGAAGGAGCAAACCCAAGAGCCGCAAGTGTAGTCCTCAGTGTGTCGTGCCACTCACGGGGCGCCTGGCGGAGACCGTAGACTGGCCGCCGGAGGCTCCACTGGGTACCAGGAGGAAACGACCCAGTGAAGCCAGGTGGGCGGCGCAGCCAGATCTCCTCGTGCAGACTGCCCTGTAGGAATGCAGTGCTGAAGTCAAGAGAGTGAAGCTCGTAGTCGCGCTGAGCGGCTATGTGCAGCAGCACCCGAAGAGTGGTCATCTTAAGGTGTCAGAACAGTATAGCTTATACATTTGTGTAGGCTGTAGTGGGGTAGCCCATAAGGGGTACAACCCAATTAGGGTTAGTACTTGTACCCACCTCTTTCATAGTTCATTCATTCTCTCGTTCTAACTTTCACATGGTATAGAGCTGGTTCCCTCGTGGGAACTGTTCCTAGGGCCCACCGATCTTTTTTTTCCTGCTCGGAGTGCGCTTGGCCCCTGCTGGAGTCGCGCCACATGTTGTTCCCCCTCTAGCGGCCTCTTGCGGCACCTTTTACAGCCCCTAACGGCCCCGTCGTGCCGCCCTTGCGGCCCCGTCGCGCCGCCCTTGCGGCCCCTTTGTGCCGCCCTTGCGGCCCCGTCGCGTCGCCCTTGCAGCCCCGTCGCGCCGCCCTTGCGGCCCCGTCGCGCCGCCCTTTCAGCGGCCCCGTTGCCGCCCCTTCCTGCGGCCCCGTCGCCGCCCTTTCAGCGGCCCCGGCGCCGCCCTTTCAGCGGCCCCGTCGCCGCCCTTCCACGGCCCTGTCGCCGCCCTTCCACGGCCTCGCCACCCGCCCTTACAGCGGCCCTGTCGCCGCCCTTCCGCGGCCCCGACACCGCCCTTCCGCGGCCCCGTCGCCGCCCTCCAGCGGCCCCGACGCCGCCCTTCAGCGACCCCTTCGCCGCCCTTTCAGCGGCCCCGTCGCCCGCCCTTCCGCGGCCCTGTCGCCGCCTTGCAGCGGCCACGTCGCCCGCCATTCCGCGGCCCCGTCGCACACCCCTTCTGCGGCCCAGTCGCTGCCCTTTTGTGGCTCATCGCCGCCTTTTCAGCGGCCCGTTGCCGCCCTTTTTGCGGCCCCGTCGCCGCCCTTCCACGGCCCCGTCGCCGCTCAGCCGCCCAGCACCCGAGCCGCGGAGCAGCCAAGCCTCCAAGCAGCCGAACCGCCGAGCAGCCGAGCCACCTGACAGCCGAGCCGCCGAGCAGCCGAGCCACAGGTCGCCAAGCCGCCCGACCGCCGAGCCACCCAACAGCTGAGCCGCCGAGCAACCGAGCCGCCCGACCACCGAGCCGCCCTGCAGCCGAGCCGCCCGACCGCCGAGCCGCCCTGAAGCCGAGCCGCCGAGCCGCCGAGCTGCATCGCAGCCGAGGCGCTGCCGCCCGTCAGCCTGCCCGGGACCGCCCCACTTGCCTGGTAAGAGCAGCGTCTCTGCCACTGCACTGCCCTGCCCCACTGTACGCACTGCTTGTCTGCTGCTGTCATGGCCTCCCCTAGTGCTCTCACCTTTGACGCTGAGGGTCGGGCAGTTGACTTTTAGGTCTCGGTAGATGATCTGCAGCTTTTCCTATAGTGCGATTGGGCAGACGGTCTCTCCCTGTTTGACCTCACTTCTTGTGCCTCTCCTGCCCCTGCTGCTGATGCTGACGCTACTGTTCGCTCACAGTGGGCCACGCGCGATGCTGCTGCTCGCCTTGCTGTGCGCCTCCATTTGCCCACCACTGAGCGTGCACAATTTAGCCAGTACAAGAGTGCTCAGACCTTGTACGACGCTGTAGTTGCACGCTACTCTTCCCCTGCCACTGCTGCACTGAGCCGCCTCATGCTACCGTACCTCTTCCCTGACTTTGGTGCCTTTCCCACAGTCGCTGACCTCATTACGCACCTCCGCACTAGTGACACTCGCTACCGCGCTGCGCTTCTTGCTGAGTTCTGCGCCAAGAACTCCCCCCCCCCATGTACATCACCCTGTACTACATAGTCACCCGGCTCCCTGACTCTCTTCGTGTAGTCAGGGACCACTTTCTCTCAGTTTGCCCCACCACTCTCACCGTTGACCTCCTCGAGAAGGCCCTCCTAGCGGCAGAGAAGAGCATAGTCGCTGTAGGAGCCTCTCGTGGTGACCCTCGCACCCCCGTCTTTGAGGGGTGTTCTCCCTCCCCCCTCTTGCCCTCTGTTGCCTCTGCTGCTGCGGCCGACCTTGTTGGTTTCGAGTCGGTCGGCGCTGCATCTGCCCCGAGCGGGAGACGCCGCACCGGCAAGGGCAAGGGGGGCAAGGGCACTGGAGGGGGTGGAGGGGGTGGTGGAGGTGGTGGTGGAGGCGGTGGAGGGAGTGGGGGTGGTGGTGGGAGTGGTGCCGGGGGTGGCGGCGGCGGCAGCAGTGGAGGCGGCGGAGGCGGTGGTGGTGGCGGAGGGAGCGGAGGAGGCGGAGGTGGCGGAGGAGGTGGAGGTGGAGGAGGCGGCGGAGGCAGCGGTGGCGGCGGCGGCGGTGGAGCGGGTCGCGACTCTGCTCAGAGGAGTGGTTCCGGTGGTGGTCCGCGCCAGCAGAAGCGGAGTGGTGTGACCCTGTCCCCTCAGCAGCTTCGTGAGTGGTACACTGCGCGTCAGCGCGGTGGGGGTTTTGGTCCCTGAACTTACGTCCTCCGTACCGGCGACTGAGCTGGTGAGCAGTGCGGAGGCCCGCACTCCACCCAGCGCTGCTTTGGTCGCCTGACGGAAGCGTGGCGTTGCCAGTTCCCTGAGGCGTCAGAGATCCCTTGCTAGGGAGATCTATCTAGGGCGGGGGTTGCCGTCTTTGATCTTGACTATGATGCTATCCTTGCTGCCATGTATTCTGTGACTACTTGTATTGAGGGTGCTTGTTACCTGTGTGTACCGCCTTACCCGGGCATTGAGGCCACTGCTCAAGTTGCTGGTGAGCCTGCTGCTCTAGGTGCTAGTGTGTCTGCTGCCCCAGGTGCCAGTGCGTCTGCTGCCCCAGGTGCCAGTGCGTCTGCTGCCCCAGGTGCCAGTGCGTCTGCTGCCCCAGGTGCCAGTGCGTCTGCTGCCCCAGGTGCTGGTTAGTCTGCTCTCTCAGGTACTACGTCGGCTCAGGCCTTCCACACCTTCGCCCTTGACTCGGGTGCGTCATGCTCCTTTTTTCGAGACAGCACCACTCTTACGCCGGTCAGTCGGCCGGTTGCAGTCTCCCTGGCAGACCCCTCTGGGGGTCCTGTCCTTGCTAGCTTCTCCACTGTCTTACCGTGCCCAGCAGCCCCCTCTGGCACCCTGTCAGGTCTCTACCTCCCCTCGTTCTCTACGAACTTGGTGAGTGTAGCGGACCTACAGGATAGGGGGGTTGACTAGTTCACTCCTGCGAGTCAGCGAGTGACCCACTGCACGTGTGCTCGGACAGGCCGACACTTGGCCACATTCACCCGTCGGCCAGGGTCGAGCCTGTACACCCTTAGTACTGAGTCTCCCCCGGCTGCTGAGTCTGCCCAGGTAGCTGCGTTGAGTCAGGTGTTTGCTGCAGCGTCCAGGTCTGGTCCTTGCTCGTGTCGTCCGCTGTCCCACCAGACTCTCCTTTGGCACCACCGCCTTGGTCACCCCTCCTTGCCTCGTCTCCAAGGCATGGCCTTCCGTGTCCTTGTCTCTGGTCTCCCTCGGTCTCTCCCTCCCCTACCTCCGGGGCCTGGCCCTACCTGCGTCCCCTGCGTCGAGGGGCGACAACGCGCCGTGTTAGAATGAAAGTTGGAGTACAAGTAGGAAACCCTAACTTTTTGTACCCCCTAAAGGCTAACCCACTATAGCCTACACAATAATAACACATATAGGGTTTGACACACCCCCATAGGCAAAGTGGGGGATAACAAGGGGTCACAAGACCAGTCAAGAAAGGCAAGCAAGCTCAGGGTGGATCACAACGTCACCACACACTCCGAGCACAAGCAAAGGGCCACAAGGCCAGTTCACATGCAAAAGTATATATAAGTAGTAGAGACAGCAAGGGTGGTCTCAACCTAGCAGAGCAAACAGGCAGGAGTATATATAGAGATCACAGTACAGTCAAAGCCTACAACAAGTGAGACAAAGTGGGCACTAGCCCCAACAAAGTACAGAAGCGCTGATGATCACCAGGCTGAAGTGCCTTGGTGAAAATATCAGCGGTGTTGGCCTGAGAGGCCACGTAGCGCACACGAAGCTGACCACGCTTCTGAAGCTCACGAGCAAGGAAGTAACAGAGAGCGATGTGCTTCGTTCTGTGCTCCAGTCTGTGCTCCTCACACAAGGTAATGGCAGCCTTGTTGTCGACGTACAGCACTGGAGGAGAACTAGGCCGCTCTCCAAGGTCGGTCAGCAGGTAGGTGAGCCAGCGTAACTCCTGTGCAGCCATGGTTGTGGCGTAGATCTCAGCCTCACAACTGGAGCTGAGAACCGAAGACGAACAAGTAGAGCGCCACGAAACTGAACCAGAGCCAAGGCTGAAGGTGTAACCCTGTGACGACCGCTGAGTAGCCTGGTTGTCAGCCCAAGAAGCGTCTGAGTGCCCAGTGAGAACAACTGAGCTATCTCCTCCAAGCACGAGCCCCATGCCTAATGTACTACACAAGTAGCGCAATACCCTCTTTGCAGCATCCCAGTGTACCTTTCGGTGACGACCAAGATCCACGTAGCAAGCCAGAAGGCCAAGAAGGTATGCTAGGTCAGGACGAGTTCAAGTCATCAAGTACATGAGGCAACCAACTAGCTCTGGGTAAGGACCACTCGGCTCTACGGACTCATCCGAAGGCAGAGCTGAGAGCAAGTGACCTATAGCCAGAGGAGTGGCCTGTGCTGAGGACCAAGTGAAGCCGAAGCGCTGAAGGACCTGTTGCACCATGTGTGACTGAGTCAGGGTAATGGTGTGGCGTGCTCTGTGCCGAGTGATCTGCAAGCCAAGGTAGCTGCGCAGTTCACCCAGGTCTGTGCACGTGTGTCTCTTCTGCAGCTCCGACTTCACGTGGCCGAGAGAATCAGTGTGAGCTGTGGCAAAGACCAAGTCGTCGACGTACACGAGGATGTAGAACGGCGGCAACGAAGTGTCGGTGCGTAGAAATAGCGATGGGTCAGCAGTAGAAGGAGAGAACCCAAGTGCCGCAAGAGTAGTCCTCATTGTGTCGTGCCACTCACGTGGCGCCTGGAGGAGACCGTAGACCGGCCGGCGGAGGCTCCACTGGGTACCAGGAGGGAACGACCCAGTGAAGCCAGGAGGGCGGCGCAGCCAGATCTCCTCGTGCAGACTGCCCTGGAAGAAAGCTGTGCTGAAGTCAAGAGAGTGAAGCTCGTAGTCGCGCTGAGCAGCAACGTGCAGTAGTACCCGAAGAGTGGTCATCTTCAGGGTGGGGGAGAAGGTCTAGAAGAAGACTTCTCCCTCTCGCTGACTGAAGCCTCGAGCAACGTAACGAGCCTTGAAGACAGGCGGAGAACCCGGCGGCCGCTTCACCCTGAAAATCCACATGCCACTGACGATGTTCGCCCCAGGTGGGGGAACCTCGTCGACGTAGGTGCCTATGGACTTCCAGGAAGCCATCTCTGCGTCCATGGCTGACTGCCACTGTGAGGAGTAGGGACCCTCGATCGTCTCAGCGTACGATCGAGGAGTCGGGATGTCTGGTGCATCCGGGTCTCCCTCAGGGGCAACTAGCATGGACACGAGATGGGGTGCAGCGGCTGCAAGACACTCAAGATCCTCCTGTCTGTCCTCAAGGACGTCCGTGCTAAGAGCACACTCACCCCCGACAGACGGAGGACAGACAGACTCAGACTCAGCAACTAGACTGGCAGCGCAGTCTAGACGATAGCGACCAGCGAAGTCGACAAGCTCAGCAACTAGGGCAGATGCAGCAGCAGACTCAAAAGAAGGGTCAGTGACAGCAGTGGCCAGGAGACGCGTGACAGTAGGACTGGCAGCACGAAGAGAGTCAGACGCAGGGTCAGCAAGAGCAGGAAGAGAGGACTCAGGAGGAGACGGCAGAGGGACAAGCTGTGGAGAAGGGGAGGGACGTAGTGACATCCGGTGTGTACCAGGGACTGGTGGCGGACGCTTACGCGAAGTACGGCGACTGGCGGAAGTAGTACGAACAGACGACTCAGGACGGGACACAGGCGACACAGAGCGAGACTCAGGCTGACGACCCTCTATGAGACTGCCTATAGGACCAGTGTAGGGAGAAGGACGAGGAAGTGGCGAGGCAGGTGGTAGCAATGACTTCGACTGGACCGGCGGTGGACACTCTACAGAGGAAGGGGGTCAAGGCGGAGGTGAGTGACCAAGAACCTGCTGAAGGAGTGGAACAAAGTACGGCCGCGGCCGTGAGGTGCCCCCTGCAGTAGTAGAGACAGCACCAGAACCTCCAACAGCTCCAGCAGCACCCCCAGCACCTCCAACGCCCGGGTCTGCAGCACCCGCAGCAGCTCCAACGCCAGGGTCCGCAGCACCAGCAGCAGCTGCAACGCCCGGGTCTGCAGTACCAACAGTAGCTCCAACGTCCGGCTCTGCAGCACCAGCAGCAGCTCCAACGCCCGGGTCTGCAGCACCAGCAGCAACTCCAACGTCCGGGTCCTCAGCACCAGCAGCAGGTCCAACGCCCGGGTCCTCAGCACCAGCAGCAGCTCCAACGCCCGGGTCCGCAGCACCAGCAGCAGCTCCAACTCCAGGGTCTGCAGCACCAGTAGCAGGGTCCGCGACACTAGGAGCGCCACTCCTAAGACTGCAGCGCTGTGCGTACCACTCACGAAGACGCTGAGGAGAGGGCAGCTCCCGCCTAGGCGAGGAAGAACGAGCACCAGCTCCAGCAGTACCCCTAGCTCCAGAAGCACCTCTCCTGAGGCTGCAGTACTGTAAGTACCACTCACGCAGCTGCTGTGAGGAGAGAGCTCCTCCAGGCGTAGCACTCCTTGGCTCAACACCAATAGGTTCCGTACTCCCAGGCTCAGCACCCCCAGACTCTGCACCCCCAGGCTCAGCACCCCCAGTCTCCGCAACCCCAGGCTCCTCACACTGAGGCTCAGCACCCCGAGGAGGACGAGATTCGACAGCTACCTCGACAGGCTCAACCGGGTCTACCTGGGACACACCTAAGGGAGCGGCACCCTGAGGGGGGAGGGGGTCTACCACAGCAGCACCTGGCGCGAGGAAGAGAGGCTAGGGAGGGAGCGGGGCAGTGCGGTAGGGGAAGAGGCGATAGAAGGGTACCGACTCGTCAAAGGTGATGTCCTGAGAGGCGAGGACCCGGCGCGAGGTGGGGTGGTAAAACTGCCAACCAGCCGCGTCCGGAACAAAGCCTAGGAAGACACACGGAACAGCGCGGGAGGAGAGCTTGTCCGCGGACGTATCGTGAACAAAAGCTCGGGATCCCCAGACCTGAAAACGTGACGCATCGCCAACCTCTCCCGTCCAACGCAGTGTCAGGGAAGTCTCCGCCAAGGAGACACGGGGCCAGAGGTTGAGCTGATGCGCAGCGTATCGGACCGCAAACGGCCACAGAAAGTGGGGGGCAGGCGCATGGATCAAGGAGGTACGGGCGACCTCCATGACCAAGACAATGCGGCGCTCAGCAACCCCATTCTGCTGTGGAGAGGCCGGAAGCGTGAACGACTCGCGGATGCCGTGCTCCCGCACAGTAGGCTGCCAAGAGGTCAAAGGAGAACTCACCACCTCTGTCAGAGTGCAAGCGCAGGACAGGAAAGTCCGAGTGGAAACGCTCGCTGAGCTGGAGATGAGAAACGCGGATCCAAGGGATCAAAACATCAGGGACCTCACCCTTGGTGCGCAAGGGGAAGACCGTGGTGTAGCGCGAGTAGTCGTCAACAACTATCAGGAAGTACCTCTCCTGACCCTGACCACGGACGCGGGCTGGGCCCCACACGTCCATGTGGAGCGTCTGCAAGGGAGCAGTCGTCGGGGAAAACGAGGAGGAGTGAGGAGCGGCGCGCTGCCGTCCCTCGACACAGGGAAGACAAGGAGGAACAGGTGAGGGTGGGAGGGCGGGGAGAACCGTGGGAAGACCAGAGACAAGGTACCGTTTGTGCATTGCCCGAAG